GAGGGGAGAGGAGGAGGAGGGGAGGGAGAGAGAGGAGAGGGGAGAGGAGAGGAGGGGGAGGGGAGGGAGAGAAAGGAGAGGGGAGAGGAGAGGAGGGGGAGGGGAGGAAAAGGAGGAGGGGGAGGAGGGGGGAGGAAAGAGAAGAGAGAGGAGGAAAAGAGATAGATGAAAGACGAAGAAAGGAAATAAGATGGGAGGGGAGGGGAAAGACAAGAGAGGAGAGAGAAGAGGGAGATAGGAATAGGGAGACAAAGAGAGGCTGGCTAGACAGAGGGAGAGCAGGGGAGGGAGACAGAGGAGAGAGAGGAGAGGAGGAAAGGAAGAGAGAAGCAGCGAGGAAAGGGGGAGGAGATGGGGAAGGGTAACAGGGAAAAGAGAGAGAGAGAGGATCAGAATCAGACTTTCTTTCACACAATGAGGAAAACACTAGATGGAACTGTTCCACCGATGGAAATGCTCCACCAGGAAAGTACAATTAAACACTTCTTTGAAATAAGCAATTTCTGCTGCCAACACAGGGCCAGGTACCAACTTAAATACAAGTCCCAGCTGAAGGCTGAGGAACGCTGGCATCCGGGAGCAGCCCTCCTGACCCAGCGCACCCCTGCCCAGATCCTAAAACAGACTCCTACTGTCCCTGACCAATTCCCCTTTGAAGCACACAGTGTCCTCCTACATCCCTTGCCCACGCTGCACCACGGCACCCTGAAGGACAGGCGGCCTCCACACTGCCGAGGAACACACGGTTTATAGATACTTAATCCTCCTCCATGGCCCAACTCCGCTGAGACCTCCGTTCCGTGTTGGCCGTTTCCCACAGGAGCAGCACTGGCTTGGAACATCCAAGCACCTGAGCCCAGGACGGTGCTGCTTCAGGGTTGCTGCCCAACCAGCCTCGCAGACCTTCGCTTTCCTCACAACATATTGCAACCGGGCGTCGGCGTCACCTCTGCTTAAACCGTGCAGGCACGGACTCTGCGTGAGTCAGATGCATTAGGTGGCCCCATCATCAAAGGCTGGAGAAATGGCTGAGTGGTTAGAGTACGTATTTCCAGAGGATCTGAGTTCAATTCTCAAAGCCCATCTTGCCCTCTTCTGGCCTCTGTGGTCTGCACTCGCGTGCACAAACCCACACCCAAGACACACACAGATATACTTGATTTAAAACAACAATAACAAACTTTTAAAAAATAATAATACAACACAAGGAAACACTGTGGGAATATTTTTCTGATGCTGTCCATGGGAATTTAGTTTGATAATGAGTCTGTGCCTCTTACATAAGTGAGTGTACCTTATATAAGCAACAAGTACCACCCAGGATCCACCTGTGAGTTGCTGATCCACGTATTCTTCTATGGTGGCACATGGAGAGAAAGCTGAAGTGTTAACATTTTTCTGTTTCTCGATCTATATGACTATTTTTGACCTAGTGTTCTATCTTGACATGAACTGTACAATATGAACTCCAGGTAACATACACAACTTTCCCGGGCCTAGATGTAAACTGTATCCTACAGTTAAATTATGACTTTGAAGCTGTGAAAGAAGATTAACCCTGCAATTGAGCAAAGCACATTTGAGTTAAAAATAAGCTACATGTTCACACAACAATGAACAAACATTTTTTTTTTTTTTTTTGGTTTTTCGAGACAGGGTTTCTCTGTGTAGCTTTGCGCCTCTCCTGGGACTCACTTGGGAGTCCAGGCTGGCCTCGAACTCACAGAGATCCTCCTGGCTCTGCCTCCCAAGTGCTGGGATTAAAGGCGTGCGCCACCACCGCCCGGCAAAACAAACATTTTAAGTGAGAATACATCTCAGTGGTAGGACACATGCCCAGCATGCACAAAGCTCTTGGTTCAATTCCCAGTACCTCAAGACAACAACAAATTAAATTAAAAATAAACAAACTCTACAAACATGCCCTGAAATAGGTTCTCTGCTCTGTCAAAATAATACAGATATTAATTTGAAATCAAAACAGAAAATGCTGAGCTAGATTTCCATAGGTTGTTTAAAAGGTATGTGTGGTAGGAGTCGGAATGGAGCACTGGGTTAGGAAAAGCATTTGTTTTATCCTGCTCACAAGAGCGTTAACTATGAAAACAACATTGTCAAGTCAAAACCATGATCGAGACTGAGTTAAATGCCATCAAATGAGAAACATTCCAGGATCTGTGGTGTCTACACAGCAGAGTAAATCCCCACAGTTAACAGCAACAATCAGCTAATAAACCTGCTAAGTCCAGCCATTCTTCATACCTGCAGCGTGCAATAAGGGCCATATTAAAGTTCTTATAAAGAAGTTTTCCTCTTTTGCCT